TAGCAGTTAACAAACAACTCAAAGCTGTGGTTGTGTTAGCATCAGGAGGTATATATATTGCTGTTATTATAACAACATTAAACTCACGAGGCAGGTAAAAGGGGCGGCATTTCACTGCCAAATACTCCAAATCAGGAGAACAGTGAATGTCCATTATTTTAACATCTGTGCTCGTTATTGTTTGTGTAAACACAAACCCCTCCACCTCTGCTCTTCCCAGATTCAACAGACCTGTCTGCTCGATGTACTCTGCGTCCTTGTAGTTCAAGTTGTAAGCCAAGTACAGTACTCTGACAGCATGGAGTCCATGGAGATTGGCAGCACAGATCAAGTGGTCCTGCAGAGCAGCATTGCCTGCATAGTCAGGTTGCCAAGGTGCAGTCTCATGATGGCTGAAATCCAGTAGTGCATCACAACTAGAGTAAGCCCACCGAATCAACGGCACTTTCACATCCAATCCCCTTGATTCAATGGGCCCACTTTAGTTGCAACTTACTATTGGATTGCAGCCAGTGAATTAACAGTCCTTTAGCACTAGAGGGGAAAAAGCGACAGAAACATGTTTGGTGTACTGAAATATTTATTACATGTAGTCATAATCCAAAGAAAGATCCCAGCTTTTAACAGAGAACTTTAAAAAGATATTTTAGAGTTGACACCTCTCCTTTACTTTTCAAATGATCTGCATCATTCAGTTTTGGCAACTGGTTCAGCAGAATTTTTTCCCCTTAATGACTATTAGCCAGAAACAGAATTTCAATTTGGACATTAAAATGTTTCACCTCGATTCTTTTGCATCAACAAACCAGGGCAAAGCAAGAGCCTAAAGGAAGCAAGAAATGGACTTCCTGGAGTCAGAGATTGTCCTACCACTCCCCTAGGTGCTGAGGACCTTGCCCACAACATCGCTATACAATGGCTATGGCTCCTTTCCCTGCCTTCCCCCCCACCTTGTGGACAAATAATGTTCCATGAGCTTTTAAAGAAACAAAAGAAAAGCAGAGCAAAACTCTGCACCTTAAAAGATGCACTGAGATTTTCAAATACTTCCCGAAAGGTAACTAAGCTGGTTGTCCCCTTCTAATTTCAGTACACGTCATTCATTATGAATTCTATACTACTAATTCTCCTGTGATTCATTCCTGGGAAGATGCACACACCCCTTACAGGTCCCACCACTGGACCCCCCTAGAGTAAAGCAGCTGCAAGAGCAAGATGCTAAAAGCAAAATGCAGCTCTCGTTGCCTCTCTCAGCCACATTTTCCTTTCCAAATAGCACCCATTAATACTTGTACTGAAATGAGGTTTCCTGCAGCAGGGTTTCAGAAGCCGATAGACTACAAGCAGAGGCAAGCCTGTTGAAGTCATGAGGGTTTTTCTGTTTATTTTATTTTTGAGAAGGTCCAGTTGCACCCCAGCCAGGGACTTCCCCAAACCATTCTTTCTCTTCCAGTGAGGGAAAAGGCATTAAAAGCCACTTAAGCCAAGAGTAAACAGGAAAGGGATGTAGGTGCCACCTAATAAATACATTGGCCTACAGTAGCTCACTCGCTTCTGTCATCTTTACAGGTTAAAAACATGCTGACCCTTCTTTCAGATAAGGCCCCTGTGCCAAGTTTACATCTATAAAAAGGAACCTGGAGTCTATTTTGAGACACACACACTTTTCATTCTACGTCATTGAAAAGAACAAGAGAAGCAATGGGCTAGTCTTTCCTTAAGAACATTCTACATATGCTTAAGGCATGCCAATATATTAACATATAGAATTTTGTACAGCTTTATGACCAGCCTGTGCTTTTCCAATCAAGACAGCCACATACAATTCTGTTACAGTGATGCAAACCTGAGTTTTTTTTAATTATTCCACAATGCAACAACAAAAGGGAGAAAAGAGACAAGGATAGCAAATAATTTCAAGCCCGCTCAGTGGCAATCCATCCTTACTGAATTGGCAGAAACATGTTCTGTGTGAGCAGATGATAAACACTGCTACACTATAACCAGTAAGCAATGCTGTGAAGAAAATGAGAGTCTAAGGGAAATACACTCCCCAGCATTTTGTCTATATGCATTAACAATATAAAACAGAAAAGACTAATTCTTCTTTTGGCTTCAGCTTCACATCCTTTAGACCCTGTTGTTAAAAGTACCACTAAGAGCAGCAATTAGATACACTTTATTAATCAAAGTATCAATATTGGTGAGGAAATCCAAATAGCTTGATGTAGCCGTGTATAAAACATTCTACTGTAGAAGTACACTTTGAGAGGTGTATGATTTACACTGAATTCACAGTAAGGCTTGTGACAAACCCAGACCTACTGGGATCTATCACACAGTTACTAAGCTGCCACCAACCATTCCCTATAATAAGTCACACAGACCAGGGATGGATTTTTAAACAATAAAAGAATAAGGTTTATTTTAAATACAAACAGGGTAAATAAAACAATCAGGTGAATAAAATAAAGTAACGTGGCTTATTCTTACACACACAAGCATACAGTTTGGTTCACCTAGAACCTTTAACTTAAAGCACAGACCCTGAACCCATCAGTTCTGGCTAACCCACAGACACCTGAACCTTTCAGGTTGGTACTCTGACACACAGTAGTACCCTGTCAGACACCCAGACTCCCACAACAGCTTCTTCTTCCCCAGCTGCTGCTTCGTCCCAACCCAGTGTCTCACAGTCTGTCTCAGCATCCCTCTTCACCACACAGGCATCACATATTTATACAGTACAGCCCCTCCTCCTGATGTCCCGCCTTCCACTCCCCATAGGATGGAACTTTCCCTCCAAACCCATGACAGACAGGTAACATCAGTGCTGTTATGTAACAAGGCTTACTACAGATTAAGACTGCTCTTCTTAATTAATCTCAGTTGATCTGCCCCAATACATCCACACACATAAAACACACTTTTGCCCATCCATGTTTTCTTTATACATAAAGAGCAAATAAAAGGCATCATGAGAAAGCAAGCGCAATTGAAAAAAAAGCCAAATTACCAACCGCAAGAATATAAACTTATAAATAAATAAATCATATTTTATGAACATATGTACAAATAGACAAGGCAACCTTTTGTGCAAAGGAAATATATATGTATATATATATACCTCAACATTGTACATTATTTACACACTCTGCAATAGAAGACAAAGGTTGGACTCTTTCACAGCTTCAGGCTGAAAGGTTCCGAGTGCTTTTCCTTGGTATTTTAGTGGTTTGCCCCTCAATGGAAGGGGATTAAGGTATGCCAGGCCAGGAACACTTAGGTTTTGTTATTAAATATATATATGTATATATTTGGTGTTGAGAAAGAAAAGAGTGAGAGAGGATCAGTGGAAACTAGTCATTCATCAGAGTGTATTGACCAAGTCTGAGCTACAATAACTATTTTGAATTTTACACCCTGATTCTAATTCTTCATAAACTAAGGAGTCCTTAATTGAGAGTACTTAAAAAGCAGCAAATGATTACCCCTATAGAAAACCCACCCGAGGGGCTGAAGTGCATGTTAATTAGCATGTTAATTCAGGTGTTCCTGAAATGATTCAGGTCATTTCAGGAACACCTGGCAACCCAGCACTTCCATCCACGGAAAGGTTAAAAGGTTATCACATGCAAATTATTTCTGCCCAAAGTGTCAAATCAGTTTTCCAGCGGGAGGGCGAGGGACAGAGAAGCCAAGGAGATTTTCCTTTGCACCACTCTTCCCCACAAAAAAAGAGAGGCCTCCATTATTAAAAGAAGGCAAAATAGGGGTATAAAAGCTTGGAGACAGAAGAAGCTGTAAAAGATACCTGGCATAAGGAAATGCAGTATAAGGCAACTGTAAACCTGTGATCTGGAACCTGGAGGAGAATGGCTTCAGTTTCCTGGTTTCCTGGCCAGCCCAATCTGCAGCCCTTTGTCAACCTGCACTCAAAGGCACAAACAGGGCATTGAGTAAAAAGCATGGCTTCCTCTCCCCCTTACAGCCAGCCTGATTTCTCATTGGTTTGCTTTCTCTGTTTCTTTCTTCTTTCGCCTTCTTTGCTCAAGTGGCCAGAGAGGCAAAGAAAAGAATCAAGTGCAAATACAGTTATTCGAGGTTACAGCTACACAGAACAGGAATGGACCAAGACATGGGGATCAAACAAAAAGTGACCAGAGGGTGGGTGGGTTTGGAAAGGTAAAGAAGAAGGCTCCACAACAACAGAAGCAGGTTTGTTTTTTTCCTTTGGAAGTTTGAGGACAAAGTCACTGTTTCCTGTTCATGGCACCAAAGACGGCAATCGGCTTCCAACGCTGCTTTGTTGTGGTTTGCGCTGAAGGGCCCCCAAAGCGATGGGGCCAAGGCGAAATTGGGGCTCTCTCCTCACCTAATGCTCCAGTAAGTACCCCTTGGTCTTCCAAGCTGCCTTTGTGCCTGCCTGCCGGTCTGTCTTTTAAATAGAGCAAAGGCCAGTTTGCGGCAAGAATCCCCTTCAAGACACCGAAACATGAATCCAGAGTACAGCCATCTCCTCTTTGTCAAATTCTTAACTCTCCTTCATGTGTAAGAAAAGGGTGATCCTGCCAAGATTAAGGAGGAGGACGAGACCCAAGCAGACGTGTCACTGGATACAAAAATAAATATACACAAATATAAAAACTCATCATGATGGGGTCATGCTTCACTTGCTCGGTCCTGTGAAGACAGCAGCTGACCAATGCACTTTTTCTTTTTTTTTTTAAAGGTGGAGGAGGGAAAAAACGTCCATCAAGTTGTTCAGAAAGTGATGTTGGACGGCTGAGGAGAACGTGATGTCAGGACATGGATGTTCTCCTTCCAGGAAATAAGCAGCTTAGTCTGGAGAAAGGCACCTCAGGTGCTGAAGTGAGATCATGCTGCATCATCCTCCAGGCTGACCATTTGTCTCTGTACAAAAATAAATAAATAAATAAATAAATAAATAAATAAATAAATAAATAAATAAATAAATAAATAAATAAATAAATAAAGGAAGGGAAGGAAGGAAGGAAGGAAGGATCAGTGGAATTGCTGTGCAAGTCCTGGTTTCTGTAGCAAAGTTCTCTCTGCAGCCTTTGTAAGACTGAATAGAATCCCGTAGTGTTGCAGTAATTTTAAGAAAATGTAAATCATTCTCAAGTCATCATTTTGGCTACATGACATCATCACTGAGGGAAACACCAAAGTGAAATTAGAATAACAGACACTGTCAAAGTAAACTAACTTCCATTTCCCTTTGGTGAGGCTGTCCCACAGCAAAATCTATTTGCTCCCATAATGACTTGCTTCTACTAAAAATAAATGTTTAAAATGAAATGGGGCTATGGTGTCAATTTATTGAGGTTCCTAAGCTGTTCTGAATAAATGCAAAAGAGAACAGATGAGAGGAATTTTTGAGATCCTATTTTGAATCTCACTGGATCTCCATATAGACAAAAAGGTCTGTCTACAAATATTCAGCACAACCCTATTTTTACAGAGAACCTTTAAAACAACTGCACAGCTCATTTCTACAATTACAGAAAAAGATGCCCAGCATTTATTTGGAGTCATGAATTTAAGTACACCCGTTTGTTTCCCTATTTAATCAAGAGTACTTCTGGGCCACTACGAGCCACCCAATGGGAACACTTCCTTCTCTTGGGGATGTTCCAGCAAAGACAGAAGCAAGCTCAGAAACGGAGCAAAACTGTGATTTTTCAGGGTGGGGGAGAGAAACTACTGTCATCTTAGATACCTAGTCTGTTTCAAAATGTCTTAACAGTTACCTCAAACTCTGGATACTTGACAGCTCATGCCCTTTTAGGTGTTCCACTGAACAGACAGTCCTACCAAGCACAGTAATGAGAGCAGGAGGGGTTCCCTTCACTCGCAGGATGGCAGTGCTTACACAAGCAAGACACTCCCACAGAACTATGCTGGCTGGACTCCCTCCTCAGTAGAAACTCTACAGGATACTGGCCACTCTGTTTGCACAAACTATTTCCTGGCAGTGCTTATCCCAAGATACCCCCAAAATATTAAAGCAATCTCCAATGGAGGGGGGGGGGAAGACAGCATGGGGGGGAGGAGGAGGCAGGAGTCTCCTGGGTGTTTCAAAACACTGTCGAGTTTCACTCTCCCAGCACTGAAGACACCCAGGATTCCCTTCCTCTTGGGCGACAGCTTACCGATGGATAGGTGTATCCTTCCTGACTTCGGCAAATGTGGATCTCATCCTCAGTTGTTTTCTGATAGACAGGATTGTCAAAGTTGATGCTGTTGGTGTTCTTGAGGCGCCAGTTCTTCCAAACAAGGAAAGCCCCAAAAGAGACTAAGCAAATCACCACTGGAAAAAAAGAGAAATCCCCATAGACAAAGCAATATTTTTATCAGCCTATCACAGCAACTGAGAGGAACATAAAGTTTGCCACAAAATACAGAAACTAGAATTTTGCTGTTAAGTGAATAATGCTGAATTTTTTAAAAAATGCAACAGTGTGCCTTATTTATTATACTACGATAATATGGTTGAACTCAAGGGCACCCTGAACAGAAAAGCATTATTTTAGCCATTAACTGATACTACTAGTGTTGGATGATGGAGAAAATCCCCTTCCTATCCCCACTGCCTACAACATTGCCTTGAAGAAAACTTACCCAGGGGTAAAACAATTGAGAGTGCTCGTGGGCCACCGTGTTTTTCCTCGCCTCTTTCTGCAGCAATACCGTTTGAAGCTGAGGAGGGAGGAAAAAACACACAGTCAAATTGGAACTGTCTCCCATCCCACTAACAAATCACAGTAACACAGTGAGTTGACTGTTATACAAAAAGAGAGGTTAACAACCTGTAACTCTGGAACTTCGAGTGGTCATCCATGAATCCGCACAAATGGATAAGGTCTGCGCCTGTGCAGGAATCCTCAAAACTTTCTAGAACTTTCAAGTCATGCATTCGCTAGGACATTCCCTCCTAGTGAGCATGCTTCGCTCATCTAAAGAGTCCCTTAATCACAGAGTGCTAGTGAGCGTTTCACTTCAAGGGTATGGAGCATGTGTTCCAAGTCCGAAGAACAATGTTTTAAGGGAAAGAAATTTGTGATGAGTAGTGGCCAGAGGCTCGAAGGGTTGGATGAGTCAAATGGCAGAGTATAAGCTGTAGAGACCACTGCAGGGTTGGAGGTTTCGGGGGGAGACCGAATGTTCCTTAGCCTTATGAGTCTTGCGCAGGTGCAGACTTAACCCAGTCGTGTGCATTCAGAGACCACGAAAATGAAGACTCTCTTATGCTCTTAATCTTTGAAAATCCATGCTACAGAGTAGGAGTCAACATCATTTTGCACAATTTGCATTAACCTTGGAATTTTATTCTATTGGCATAAAAACTGTATTCAATACTCTTGAGAGTGCGCCAGAATTTCTCACTCTGTTGCAAGGCATGGAGAATAATCTTTTGGTGCCTCATCTTACCATGGAAAGACAAGTGTGCACTGATATGCCATCGATCACCTTGAGAACACCTCAACTGAGTACTAGAGATGTGGGTATTTATATTCAAATATGAGTATCCCCCCACAGGTGCAGATAACGAGAGTCCAGCCCCCTGGGGCCAGATGGACCACTCACCTGTCCACCACTGCTTCAGAGATCATGATGGATTAGCCACTCTTCAACCTGGCAGAGAGGCTCATCCTCCCACCTTCTGCCAGGAGTGGCTAATCCATCGCAAGCTCTGGAGCGACGGAGTTCGGAGCCCGCAGCAGCAGTAGAATTGTGAGTGGTCGGTCTGGCCCAGGGGTGGGGGCAGACCCTGGTTATCTGCACCTGTAGGAGTATATTCGTAATCGAATACCCCATCTCTACTGAGTACCATTCAAAGTTTGATGTGAATGTCTGACAACAGTTGCTGCCATACAGCAGGGCAGACAAAAAAAACCCAATGAACAGAAGAACAAAATTCTGGAGTCACAACTACCCACCCAATACGTTTCCCTTAACAGGGTAGGCGCTTAGGTAAATAGAAATCTAAACAGCAACACCTCATTGAAGGGCAACACCAAGACTGTCTGTCTCCCATGAAAGCCCCTCACCTTGCTGGGAGAGCGTGACCACTGGCAGTGTGGTATGTTCAGGGATCCCAGGAGTGGGTTTATTCAGCACAGTTGTGGCTGCAGCAGGTGGATGTTCAGGTGCCTGCCTTTGACGACCACTGGCTGTAGAAAGCAGCAACAAAGGTGTGGTTCTTCTGATGGATTCTGAGGTTGTGGCAGTAACAGATGTTGTAGTGTTAGAGACGGCACCTGTCAGGTGGAGAGGACAACAGATCAATGCCTGTATCAAAGTGAGCATACTGAGTTTTCAAAAGCAGGAGTAGGCACCTGTTTTGACACACACATCACACCTGAAGCCACCCACCCCAGTCCCAACCCAACACTTGGCCCTCCCTGTACTATACTAGAATGCTAGCTTTCTCAATTTTCTCTCCATACCTGTGATGCAACCTTTCATGCCTGCATCCAGGTGCATGCCATCTGGACAGGCACAGGTGTATTTGGCAGAGTGGAGAGTGATTTGGGGGGCAGGAAGGCACAGATATTGGCAGCCTCCATTACGGACACCATCTTTTTCACACCAATTCTCTCCTGTAAAGGCAGAACAAGAAGCTCATCTTCTAAAAGTAGATCTGGAAATTTCACTGGCATCAAAGTATGAAACATTAAAGGCCTACTAGGATTTAATGATTAACTTCTTCTAACACTTGTTTTCTGTCCAAAGGTTGTGTTTGAAAGTGCCCCAAGTGCCACCTTTGGGCTTGTACTGCAAAAGGGAAAATGTATGGGAAAGGAAGAGGGGAAACCTGCCTAGAGGTGGTAAGATGGAGACAAAAAGAGGTACCTTTTGGTTGCTGCACGGAGTGGAACAGAACCAAATCCTCCGGTGAAAATAGATCCTGCGCTACCTTGACAACATCTGAGCCAGTCAACCGGTTGGCACTGTAAATGGCTTCATTTATGACATCTGTCCAGAATACCTTGTCCTGGGTAAAAATTCAAGGTTTGGAAGAGTAAGAGCCTGGCTTATTGCTTTATCCCATCCAAAAGCAGCTAGAGCGTCACCCAGCAGCCATCAGAGTCTTTGCATGAGTCTTTTGTTTAAAGAGGAAAATACAGAAGAAAAACCCCTGGGTATCCCACAAGGGGCATAAGGGAAACAGCAACATTCCCACATGCCTCCTCAAAACAGGCAACGCAACCTATTGCTTAAAAGCTAGACAAGCAAGGAACAAATTACTTTTTAAGCATAATGTTCTGAGCCCTCCTGAAGTGCTCTGATTCTTGAAGGCTCTGAGTGTCTGCAGTTTAAATCCTGCTAATTTTCTACTGAAGCTGGTAGCAGCGGTTTGCAAGTAACCAGGCAAAAGGAAAGGTTAGACTCAAGGGTTCAGAAGATTCAGATCCACTTCCCTCCACCCAAAGAAAGCAGTTGTTGGGGGGAGACAAACAAAAACAGTCCCTTGATTTGTTTTAGGTGGGGGTGGGGTGAGCTTTAGCAACAAATAGAAAAAAGATGGTTCAAAAACCCAAGTCATTCGCCGTTGTAACGCCTCTCTGAAGCGATAGCTCCCAACTATGTGGCATCCCCATAATACATGACCATACCATTCATGTTCCTGCCTCACCTCAAAGACTGTGATGCCAAAAGGATGAGTCAACGTCTCCTCATTCACAAGGATGGTCTTCCTGTTTCTCCCATTCACACCAATGCTGGAGACAGAATGATACTTGGAGTCTACCCAGTAGAGGCGCTGGTTGACCAGATCTAGCACAGAAGGAGATGTGTCAGAGCACCATACAACAGACAATCGTATCAGTTGCAAGGAAGTCAGCAGAAGCCCAAGACAGAGGGCAGAACTCATAAGCTAAGGGTTATGCTATACAGCAGGCTCTCTCCAGCCACAAAGGACTTACCAAGTGCTATTCCATTAGGCCACTGAATGCCTTCTGTCACTAGCGCAAAGCTGTCAACTCCATTCAGGCCACTTTTGGCAATTTTAGCTGACATCCCCCAGTCAGTCCAGTACATGAACCTAAGAACACGAGACAAGAACATGCACAAAACACAAGGAGAAGCTCAGTTTAAGCCAAATGTGACAGAAGACAGAATTGTGATGTTTGAAAATCAGCATGGCCAATAATCACTGCCAGATCCTCAGACCTACACAGAAAGCTGTGTTATAGCTATACAGTGGTGCCTCGCATAGCGAGGTTAATCCGTTCCGGATTAACCTTCTCTATGCTGAAGCATCGCTGAACGGGGCAGCGATTTCCATTGGAACGCATTAAACATCGTTTAATGCGTTCCAAATAGGCCAAATACTCACCGTTCAGATGGCCAATAATCACTGCCAGATCCTCAGAGCTACACAGAAAGCTGTGTTATAGCTATACCATGTTTTCTCTCCACTAACTGGTAGGCCAGATGCTGAGACAGGGGTCTCTCCCAGGCTCACCTGGAGATGCCAGGGGACCTTCTGGATAAGAAGCATCCCTTCTACCCTTGCAGTGATGGGTCCTTCCTCTTAACAATTCTTGTTACCAACCCTCAGCCAAAAGCCCACTTGAGAAGTCAACCTTGTTCACCAAGGTTGGAAGCAATGGCTAGAACCTTATTGGCCTTTGTGTACGGTTTGCATATGTTACCCCAGCTAGTAGTGGCTAACATATAAGTTACTGGAAGGCATCTTAGTTGTGCAGTCAGGTGTGTGTCTACGCACACAACCAAGATGTGTTCTGGCACTTCATCCATTAGCTGTGACAAGTTACATAAGCCTTGGGTGAAAACCAAGAGGATTCTGGACATTATGTTACAAATACTTGCAACATGTTAACGGTTTGAAACAAGGGGTATAACAATGTTCCTTTCTGCAAGTAAGGAATGGTAATATTTAGTAGTACAGTGGTGCCTCGCATAGCGATTGCTCCGTATAGCGATGAAATCGCTTTGCAATGGACTTTTTGCCATCGCAAGAGCAATTGCTTTGCGATGGCCCCTATGGGGAAATTTCGCTTTGCGATGATCGCAGGGAAGCGATCATCACAAAGCCCCCATTTTCAGCCAGCTGATTGGCAGTTCCAAAATGGCCGCCGGGTAAACAAAATGGCTGCCCGCTGTTTGGCCTCACTTTAGAGGCACCGAGAATGGCCGCCGCAATGGAGGATTTTCGCATAAGGTTAGTTTTTAAGCCCATAGGAACGCATTAAACACGTTTTAATGCGTTTCTATGGGTTTTTAAAAATTGCTTAGCGATGAAATCACTTAGCGATTTTTGCTGCACTGATTAACATCGCTAAGCGAGGCACCACTGTATTTTTGAATGCGACAAGGCATATGCACTATTTACTTTTTCTTGTCCCCCAACATACATAGATAAGAATAACGTAAAGAGTACGGTTAAAAAGAGAAGCCTACAGATGGATCAATTAATTTTGTTAGGGTCTCCTAGAAATAGTGGCTTTCCCTGCTCTGGCTCCTTCAACACATCTTGTTTGACTTTTCTAGAAGCTGCAACTGAAACACAAGGCACTTTTGCACATACAGGATAGTATCCTTACACTTGTTCAACCACATTTTAGAGAGGGTGAGGTAAAGACACATACCCATTGACTGGATCCACCACAATGGCACGTGGCTTGGCACCAACTTCCCTGATCAGTGTCTTCCTCTTTGAGCCTTCACTGCTGGCCACAGAGATGGTGCCCAGGCCAGAGTCAGTCCAATAGAGGTTGTTGTGCACCCAATCCACAGCTAAGCCATCGGGGTGTCTGATGCCACTGCTAATCACAGTGGTGTGGTGAGAATGGTTGTGAGCCACAGCTATTGGGGTGCTGTCAGCAAGAGACAAAGAGAGAAGCCCCAATGAAAGGAACGCAGGGGGCAGGCAGAGTCGCGGGGTGGATAAGCCGATGTCATTCTTCAGCTCTTCCTTTCTTTAAAATATTTTAACACACTGCTCTCCTTAAAAAGGACTCAAGGAAACTTATATCATTAAAAATGCAACATTCAAAAGCTAAAAACAGTAAGGATACAAATACTTAAAAAGATCAAACAAGTATCACACTAAAAATGGTCATAAAAACCTACCCCCAAACTGCATTCAAAGCAGTAAGACACAACAAAGCATTTAAGAATCCCACACAGGCAGCCAGTCACTGAGGGGGGAAGCTTGCCTGAAGAGAAAGGTCTTTGTCTGCTTGTGGAAGGACAGCAAGGATGGGGCCAGTCTGGCCTCCTGAGGGAGGGAGTCCCAGAGTCTGGGAGCAGCAACAGAGAAGGCCCTCTCCTGTGTCCCCATCCAAGTGCACCAAGAGAAAGACCATCACCTGATGATCTGAACACCTGAGCCGGCTCACAGTGGGAGACATGATCTTTGAGATAGCTTTGACCCAGGCTGTTTAGGGCTTTATAGATTTCTGATAGAACAAGTGGCTGACTCAATACTTCAGTTACCTAGGCAAAAAAAGGCTCCTTTTTAAAATGCTAGTCAGAGCCAATGCCCCCCTGTGGCTATGTAGCCCTGAGATAACTCCCCAACGTTCCCATTACCCAGAGGAAAGCCGTGGTCAAGAGGGCAAAGACCGGCCCGCAGCCACCTCCAGGCATTTGGATCTGCGCTGACCCTGCTGAAATCACTTGTCTTGCATGGCCATGCTCTGGAAAGACTCACTAGGATGCCCACAATCCACAGGAATGTGCTGAGAGGAGACTCCGCTTGCTGATCTGCTATTGAATGAATGCAGGATTCACAACTATCTACAGAACCACTTTGGGTCATTTCCCTTTTCTAATACGTTAAATATGGTTCTGGAGTCAGCCAAGCAGTCAACAGGGGGGTTACTCAGTGACACTCTCTCTCTCTCTCTCTCTCTCTCTCTCACACACACACACACACACACACACACACCCGTGGCAAGGAAGGAAGCCCAAGTACTTCAACACAGACACTGTGCTTACCTGAAGATCTTCTTCTGAGAGCTGTCTGACCAGTAGATTTTGTTGTTGGCTATTTCCATATCCAATGCCACAGCATTTTTCAATTTGGGGATCAGGCTGGTGTACTCGCTGTGGTCCAGGGTCATCTTCCTGACCTCGTGGCGATTGGTAAAGAAGAGGTATGGCACAGTGCCTGGGAAAGGGGGAAGGAAAGGGGCACTGAGAATCGGAGGCCTCCTGGCACTTCCTTTCAATTCAAGGCCACAACGCTTAGGCCTCCAGCCCAAAGAATGGCACTGTGATTCAAACCTGTCCTCCCCCAGCCCAAAGAGGTTTCCAAAGTTTTATAAGTGACAGAAAGTTAGTAAGACCCAATACGGTTTTTAATCATCATCATCACACAGCACATGAATAGAGAGAGTGCACACAAGGTAGGGTGGAATAATGTAATTGCTTGCAATGAAGACGAAGGCATCAGGGGTCCCCCCTAAAGCCCTTCACATAATGAAAATTAGGTGCCAACCAGTTACTGTGCATCAAGGTAAGATTCACAGTGTACTCTTGGAAGTCATATTTGAGGCACCACTAAATGAAGAACAACAAAGCATACAATATTCCTTAACTGTCCTGAGTCTTTTAGGTGCCAGGTAAGGAGCAGGTTGGAGTTGATGTGGGTCACAGTGATATGGCTGTTTCTACACCGATGGCTGTCGAAATCGAGCTGGATAGAACAACTGGTTGATTGGCAGTTCCAGTTTGTCCAGTTGGGCAAATAGCAACCCGGTGAGAGTGCTGAATGCGGGTCTGAGCCTCTCCCAAGCAAAAAAAGACACTTGGCGTGGCTGTCGGAGAGTGGTATTTTGTTATTACAGACCACGCAGTACTTAAGCAGGCCCAAAGGGGCCATGAATAGGAGAAAAATAATTTGAGGAGTAAAAACGATGATTAGAGGGTGCTGTGGCCAGAGGCCGAGTGAAGTAAAAAAGAAAAAAATCTCTGATAATGAATTTGATCTAAAAGTTTAAAGGAAAAAAGATTGATAACAGGAAGGAATCAAGAGTAAATTCTCTTTCTCTTTGACTCACAGAAGCAGAACTATGAGGCTCTCAATGTGGTGGTTGAAAGAAACTGAAAGGGGAGCCTTGGTGCCAAGGTACTTATACGAGGGGGGGAGGGGCCTTATTCTAATGTGTTTTTTGCTACCGCAGAAGTTCTAAAACATTACGATGAGGCTCCGCACACGCGTAGATCACCCAGGGTGTGATTCAAAGAGGCCATGAAGAATATGAAATATGCTACATTATAAACAATAAATTTAAGATGGCTACTCAAAGGACGTGTTTGAAGGGAACCAACGTGATTTTCTCCTCTCAAAAGCTGGGTATATCAGAGGTGCGGGAACTTTCGGCCTTCCAGATATTTTGGATGAAATGGCTCAGGTAACTATCACTGGCCCTGCTCATGGAATTTGTGGGCCAAAGTATCTGGGAGGTAAAACGTTCTCACTTATGCTATATTAAAAGTCTGAAGCCCAGTGATGAATATAAGTGGATTTTTTTTCAAATACACTGCTGTTTTATTTTAAAAGAGATGGTCCCATTTTTGTTCTTTTAAATATTTGACTTTATGTGATCTCATATTACGTCACTGATGAAAACATTTGTGTCAACGCACATCTGGCTTATCCTGCAGTACATTTTGTAGGTTTGCTTATATGCTGTTAAAGGCATTGTTAGTTCATGCACAGAGTTTGCTTTTTCCTTATACAATGAATTGAGAACATGGAAATCTAGCATCTTAAAACTGGTACCCAAGAAGATGGAGTAAGGAAGATCTTGCTTCCATGCTATTACAATTTAAAATAGTGTGTTTCCCCCTTTATTAGGCAAATACAAGAGAGGCAAAACAGTGGCTACAGCTGTCCCAACACTTTGCAGAGAACATCTAAACCCTCCCCCTCTCAGACCGATGCAGTCTGTCTGGCAGTGCCATGCACAGACCAACAGTGTTGTTCAACCCAGCCTTTGATACAAAGCAGTACTATTCTTCCTAAGCAACCATTCTGCTGTGCAGTTTGTGTGAAGGGAAGTGTGAAGGGCAACTGAGAAATGAAAAAGCAGAACAGTCACCAAGAGTTCTTGATTACTCTGACGACTGATAACAGAAGCATAATGAGAGGCAGGCACCCTCCACTTACCAATAGCTTTGCATGCCTTGGTAGTTGGGTCCATCTGATAGCCTTCTTTACATTCACATTTATAGCTTCCTTCCAGGTTGACACAAATTTGGCTACAAGTATCAGGGTTGAGACACTCGTTGATATCTATAAAACCAAGAGAATATCATTTAAGCCCCTGAGGGGGGGAAAAGAGCTGTCTTTTCACAGTCTACACATTTTGCTTTGCACATTAAAAATTGTTAAAGGATCCTTGTTAGGCTTGAGACTCATAAATGGCACCTCACCGAACGAACAGAAATTAGACATGTCCCTATATTGGGTTTGCCACTCTACCCTATTCAGGCTTCTCCTTCCCTCTTTCTCACAGTTGCCAACACCCACCAGAAACATTAGCTCTCAAAACGCTTATGAAAGACTTCCTGTGACAACATGACAGGGTGGGAAATACTTGATGCAATTTAGGAGCCAGATCACAGAATTCCATGTTAAAAACTGTGAAGAAATAAATCCTCCACGGGAAGGTAACCAAGTCACCTTTCACAACCTCCTCCTCCGCTGTCCATGCTGTCTAGGGATGATGGAACCTGTAGTCCAACATCTCTAAAAGACACCAGTTGGGTAAAGGTTTTCAGTCTACCATGAATTTCCAGGAGACAAAGCTCTGTCAGAGAGAAGGAATGTGCTTCCACAACCACAACTCCCCAGATAGTCCCCCTATTTTGAACCTGTGATTCAGTGCTTCAGCAGATCAGGCCCATAGGCATCTCACAAGCAATCCAGATTTTGCACCCTGCCTCTTCCCTCAGGTGCCTACTCAGAGGAGGCAGCAGGGCAGGGAAGCCCGCAGCGCTGCTTCTCACGGGACAACTACAGGAGGTGGAATGTGGAATCTGGATTGTCTGCGCAACATCAGAGGGCCTGATCCACCAAATCACACCAAAGCACTGAACTCATCATGGCAGTCCCAGGTGGGCAGATCCAGCCAGGACAGCATTTGAAAATTACACTGCTTGAGTGAGTCTATATGACAATCATGAGATCCAACAGAGGTAACTAACCCAGCAACCCTACCCTGGCCTACTTTAACTTCCAATAAAATGACAGAAAAGTGAACTCATTAGAGATACATTAAATCAAAAATAATACATCAATAAAAATAGAATTCAGCCATTTACCTTCACATTTTCTTTGGTCAATAAGCTGGAATCCCTCTGGGCATAAGCACTCATATCCAATTTTGAGGTCATTACATATGTGGGAGCAGCCACCTTTGTTGCCCAAACATTCGTTTGTTCCTGGAAGGAGGTAACCCAAAAACGCATGGTGCCATTAGCCTCAGAAAAAAAAATAACTTTCAAGGACTTTTTATGGTTTTTATCATTACATTGTTGCATTTTGTGGTTTTTTTGTGGTCTTTGAGGGCAACCTGAAAGGGTTTTCCACAAAACGCAATTTATCTTTTATTTAAATACATAACTAAAGGGCCTAATCTAGAACCTCTCCTCACCAACTGTGGCTAGTTAGGCAGCTGCTAATCAGAATTAGGAGCCTTATCTTGCTAGTGCTTTATAACCTCTAGTCTGTTTAAATGATGTCTTATCACTACAGTAGAACCTGAGACTGTGGCTTGTCTCTGGGTTGCTTCCCCAGTTTCTTCTGATAAAGCGAGAGCTGATGTAGCAGGCAGAAGACTGAAACCAATCTTCTGCCTGTTATAGGCAGTATGGCTTAGTATGAAGGATTGGCTTTATTCAGAAAATGTTTATATACTATCACATCATGCATAAATCCTAAACAAATACGCAGTTTCTACTTCTTATTTTAATTACACGTCACCTGCTCTATCCTGGTTGTGCTGAATGACAAAATATTACAATGCAAATGCAACAGCGCACTATAGTTAAAAAAGAACTAGAAATTCTTACGGCACTCCTTGAGAGGCTCATCAGACCAATCCCTGCAGTCTTTCAGTCCATTGCAGACTTTGTCCATTGTGATACATTCCCCAGAACGGCACTTAAATATGTTTGGTCCTTCGCAGGTTGTCACTATCAAAAGTAGAATAAAGTATTGCTTTAAGTCTTTGCAACCTTTCAAACTGACTTTCCATTTAGTTGTTTTAGAAATGTGCTACAGAACCAAAATCAGGCTATGACAATACTAAGATGAAGGAAGCAGGGCATTTAATTCATAACCCAGCTCTGTGCTTTTTTTTAAAATCATCCTAATTCCAAGCCACTACGGATCACAGGACAGTGTACATGTTTTTTTAACAAGCAGATTTCAAATCACTGAAGAACAAATCAAAGATTTAACTGTGCCAAACAAACAGTAAAGTGACTTTAAAAGGTCCAGACACATAAAAATATCTTGATCTGGGGAGGGGGGGGGAAACAAGACTGGTGGGGAAAGAATACAGAACTGGGACCACCCCCACCTTCTTTTAGGAGGACTGCAAAGCCTTTTTCAAATGCATAATGCACTTATCCAAGTGAAGTAACCCGGAGAAAAGCCCTTGTGATCTTAGCACATGACAGAACTCTATGCCCTACCTGTTCTAACAATGCCAACAAGCTTTCAGTCTAATGCATACTCGGTGCCCCACAAAGTCAGCACACGATGCTCACCATTGATACAGCCAACCTCATCACTCATGTCTTTGCAATCGCTCTCCTTGTTGCACTGCAGGCTCCCATGGATGCAGGTCCCATCATTACACTGAAATTCATCTGGGCGGCAGGTCACCTTGGCTAAACAGAAAGGAAAGCCATTTAGAGACAAGACATCTCAGCAGCCGGTCTGAACATGCACAGTCCAAAGTTTAATGATAACAACAGGATCTGGCTGAGCGGAGAATGAGCCTATACCTCCCACTCTCCTGCACAACCTATGAATCAGCGGCCCTTCCAATAGTTTGCAGTAAACAGAAAGCTGCAAAGTATCATCACAGCATTATTAATGCCCCAAAGGGCAAAGAGAGAGATTCTCAATCCCTTCAAAGCAAAGTGAAGCCTGGAAAACCAGCATCCCTCCAGATGCCACTGGACGTCAGTCCCCACAATGCCTGGCAGCCAACCAGCCAGCCTGGCAAATGGTGCAGAACAAGGGGAGAGTTGTGTTTCATCAAAATCTAAAAGCTCAAAGGCTCCCTTAGCTCTCTGTTTAGTGTCCAGCACTGGAGTCAAAGAACTGAAGGGTAACTAACCCTTGCTGAAAAGCTACCGTACCCTTGTAAAAGAGTTAGCAGCAGGTTGGCGGCATCTGGTGCCACTTCACTTTGGCCAAAAATGCAACCAATGGTCTTTGATGAGCTCAACTGTTCCTCAACTCTGAAATAATTGCAACAGTCAGACCTACAAATGTTGCCTCGATAATCCTACAGGAAACTGCTCTAAGGCACTCTAAAAACACTACAAACTTCAACAGCCGATACATAGGTATACTGGCTAAGAGACTGAGGACTGCACTGAAAAATTCCTTGTTTGAATCTCATTTCTGCTATGAACTCAGTGGGCTGTCTCAGACATGCCACTTCAGCCTCTTCATCCGCTAGGTAGGAAAGATACTGAACCTGCCCCACATGTCCTATTACCCTTACAAAAGTATATTGTGCATTCACTGTTTTGAATACTCAAAAAAACCTACAATACCTGCCTTGAGGACACTATCTATCTAACATAAAGTGAATCCTACATGTTCTTTTCAAAAGAGAGACTTAGCCACCTCTTTCTAGATAGTTTGTTTCAACTTCTTTCTCCTTTTGAGAAGTGCTGCTTTAAATTTTTGAGAAAGGAAAAAATCCACCAAGCAAACCCAAAAGGCTTTTAGCCCATTCTTTACCCCTAATGGCTCCCAGTGCAAAGATGTACCCAGTTTTCCACCCTTCAAGAGAGACCTGAGATAGGCCCACCCTACCTCCCCAAGAGAGACAGCCACCTGTGCACACCACACTTCTAGTGAACTTACCACACTTTGCCTCATCTGATTTGTCCTTACAGTCAAAGCTACCATCACACTGCCAACGCTGGTGGATGCACTCGCCGCTCCCACAGCGGAACTCCAACGAGGAACAAGGACTGGCCCCATCTCGGTCTCCACAGAGCTCAGGGGATTCATCCGACCCATCCTTACAGTCCTGATCAGCGTCACAGGCCCAGAGTTTGGGAATGCACTCCGAGCTGTTGCAGTGAAACATCTCAGGGTTGCAGGTGGGGGGAGAACACTTGGCTTCGTCACTCCCGTCCTCACAATCACGGTCCTCATCACAGACAAAATCCAGAGAAATACAGTTCCCATTGGCGCACTGGAACTCACTGTCAGCACAAGGCTTGGGGGCTGCAAGAACAAAGGACAAGAGAAGAAGTCACATTTCCCTGCCTGCAAGACGGCACACCAAGACAAACTTTCCATAAGCAGTTTTGAGCTCGTGGATGTTGATTTCATGTCGCTTTGGGCTGGCAGCTAAGAATCTGCAGCTACAAATATCACATTTTCTCAGCCACCTCCATACCAGGAGAACAAAATGTTTACATTGCTGCATCTCTTGCCTTAGCTAACCCAAGCTTTTAAAATGGAATCCCGCAGGACATACTAAAAAGTCGTGTTCTTGAGCAAGTTAAAACACACACACACACTAAGCCCAACAATAACAATGCAATCTTCACACACACACACACACACACACACACAAAGCCCAACAATAACAATGCAATCTCTCAATGAGAATATTTGCAGGAATGGGGCATAAAAAATAAGATTCTCCTATTTGCTACTTAGATTACTGGGCACAAGGAGTGCTTCAAAGGAATTGTGTAGGTTATTAATTCAATTACATTTAATTAGTTCACACAGAGAAATTGAACTGATCGAGTTTGATTTTGTGTCTGACCCAAAATCCACTCTGTCCCATATCGCCTGACTTACGGCAATCCTTTTCATCAGAACCATTTTCACAGTCCTCTTGGAAGTCACATCGCCAGGACATATCGATGCAACGATTAATGCGCCCACCACAGCTGAACTGATTTGGATCACAGGTCACAGATCCTGGGAGAAAGAAAATCCAACATTAAAATGCCACATCAGCATCTTCACAGGCATTTAACAGGGGCTCTGTGCTGGCTCTGGCATGGGTCACTCAAGAGACATTTACTTGGAGCATTTATGGCACAGAGTTGACATCTGTCGCACAGAGCAGCCTCTGCCAGGAGCAGTCATTTTGCCTCCTCTTGGGCACTCTGCGCTCGATGGCTCAGCACAAACTCTGTGTGAAAGACAGGAGGGCAGAGGGCAAGCCGAGGGTGGAAGAAACAGTGACTGTCTGATGGCTGCTGCTCCGTATCACTCCACCTCTATACTATGGTGCACAAATAAGAGCAACCGACAAGGCGGTGGTGAGCTCACCTGAAGCAGAGGGAAAGAGTCTTACAACGGGAAGCAATGGGACTCAGGCCTAAGCAGAAAGAGATCACCTACTGAACCATTCTTTCTCTTTTTATATTCCAAAGCCTCAAGTGGGAAACCATTTCGCTACTTGTCAGGGTTTCTGCATCCCTCTTTCAGGAATTTTAAAACTTACACACACAGACATTCAATCCATCTCCACAGTATCACCTGACAGAGAACCACCTGTGGTAAGAACTACCTAATCATGTTTTGCTGCTCACAAGGCTTCCACACAAAGCACTTAATAAAATTTGGGCTCTTCGCTCCCTGCTCTGGCCACAGCAGTTGGGCAATGCAAAAAACAAAAACCAAAACCAGAGGGTCTTGTGGAATTCTGAAGAACACCATCATCATGCATGGATTATCTGGAATCTAACAATACATAAAATTCCAACTGAAGTCTTGTTGCTTAGAATAGTGAGTCACACTAAAGTAGGCCCAATGAATCCGTGCAGATTTGCAAGTCATCTCCTCTGAAAGATTTATTTATTTATTTACAGTGGTGCCTCGCTTAACGAGCGCACCTTATAACGATGAAATCGCATAGTGATCTCTTTTTTGAGATCGCTAATGCGATATCCCTTTTTGGGGATCGCTATACGGAGCTGCCCCAATCGCCGCACTCGCTTTGCGACGATTGGGGCGTCCGGTGGCCATTTTGGAGCCACCGATCAGCTGATCGGCGGCTCCAAAATGGCCGCCAGACCGCGAAAACATCGCTGGAGGGGTAAGTTTGGACGCCTATTGGAACGCATTAAACTAAGTTTAATGCGTTCCAATAGGCTTTCCTTGCCCCGTACAGCGATGTTTTCGCATAGCGAAGGTTAATCCGGAACGGATTAACCTCGCTATGCGGGGCACCACTGTATTTGATTTATACCCCACCTATCTGGACTACCAGACCACTCTAGGCGGCTAGATCTTGGGAGGAAGTTTCAATTATTCATTGGCATACTCTAGGTTGCAACCTATGTTGCTAAAGTTAAGTCACAACTACAGTAGGCCCACCTGATTCAATGGAATTTACATGGGCGTAATCTAGGGCAACTTATGCTAAGGAACAGGATTTCAGCCACTGTGTAAGTCTTTAGGGTAATAAAAACATTCTTTTATTTATGCAATAACAGGTTGACATGGCAAGCCACTGGAAACTGATCTAATTCTGAATGGCTGCTCTGTGCAGTTGCAAAACCTCAACTGTGAGAATCACAGTATACCATAAAGAAAAAAATAGTTGTCTCTTGACAAGAACATGCAATCCATGACTTCTCTCAAAGACCACAAATCATGCTTGTTCATAATGTAGCAAAAGTTCGTTGATTAGATTTCTCTAAAAGCCTGGTCTTTAGCACTAATTACTATACTCCACATGCACAACTGCAAGGTTGATACACTTTTTAATAAAGTTGTTTCCAAGCAAAGCTCGTGTATCCTATACAAAACTAAGAGAAGTTGATGGGTTTCTTTCCACACGTCAAGATGTTCACTTTCAGCCAACAGTGAGCCTCCCAAACACCATACTTGCAAAGCAAGCAGCTGCTCTGCAACAAGGCATGTTCTCTCCCGCCTGTATCCCATGGGGCCATGCAAAAGACCACTCAATAGAATTGTAAGGTTGGAGCATCATTTAACAGACTATGAGAACAAAGCATTAGTTGTAACAATGCTCTGGCAAACTCTTTATGTATTCACATTTGCATAGATGCTTGCATATAACTCCTTCACGTATGACAATGGGGTGGAAGCAAGGAGAAAAGGAAAGGCTAGCCAACTTACTGCAAGCATCTGTAGATTCATCGGTGCCATCTTCACATTCAGCTCTGCCATCACAAATCCATCGGTAAGGGATGCACTGTCCACTTCCACACTGGAACTCGTTTCTTCCACATTTAGCCTCGCCTGCAGAACACAAAACAACATAAGCAAATGAATCCCTTATATCACAACGCCAGACTTAAATAATGCAACTACATCACATTTGTCTTCAGTTAACAAGATGGTGATTTTACCCACTTCAGTATTTAGGATCATGCATCTTTTAGAATTCATTTTAAGTAAGGATACTTGCCTAGGTATGACTCTGAGGATGTTCTTAGCACCTAAGTAGACTCAGAGGTAGGTGTCACTGAGGTAACCTGAGTTCTTCTGAATTGTTCCTCAACACACATACTTAGGGGGCATGCACACACCTGAAAGCCTAAGATGATGTTTGATAACCTAAGCAAGATATGTCTTCTATGGCTGGTCGACCACTATACACTAATCTTTTTGATTTTGCTGCCATTAACAGAAAAACCAAAGGGAAGTTAAAACACTCTTCCTTCCTTGGCAACTGGTCCTCCTGCCAATTGTACCCCAACAAGGCTTCATAGAAAGCTGAAACAGTAACAAGAAGCTGCTTTCTCACCAGCCAAAATGCCTCTGTGCCAAGACCAATTTTGGGTTAGGCATGAACTGCAGGGACAGTCACAAAGTCTGTTCCCCAGAGTCTTTTTCAACACCTGGGCTCAGATTTGGAGCTTCCTATTCCTGAAGAAAAGTACTTGTTGTACCAGGTCTGCTCCCTCACTGCCATTAACCACTGACAGCATCCCACATGTATGCCTTAGAGAGGACAGGAGGGGGTTGTTCCCAATGTCGCTGGATTGCAACTCTCATCACCAGTTCACACCAGCTGTGGTGTAAGAGCAGTTCCTGATAAAAGGCTGCAATCTTGTATTACCATGAACAGTCAAGAACTATAGAGCTGCTCTTCCATGTGCTAAATGTAATCACAGCCAGAAGTTTATGGCTATTTGCAGACTGATAGGCATGTACAACACCATTACAAAACCAAGTGATCTAATTTATTTGAGAAATGGACAAGACACTTGGCTGCCATTAAAATACCTTTGAAAAGTATAACTTTCAGAACTATGAAAATTCCCACCTTAGCAAAATATAAAATGTTAGGTGCCACCAAGTTGCTTTCAACTTAGGGCGATCCCAGTAAGGTTTTCAAAATATTAAAGATATTCAGGAGGTGATTTGCCAAGCCCCTAATCCAACCCAGTGAGCTTCCATAGCAAGTGTGAGGATGTGTACCTAAATCTCCCACATCCTAGTGTCCACACCCTATCCTCTATATACCACAGTGACTCTCCTATTGCTTATATAGAGAATATACTGAATTTGGTTATGTCCTTCCTGCAGCTTCTGCATAGAAGAGAAAGTAAGGAAGCAGCACAAACATGGGCTGACTTTTTAAAAATGGGCTTGTATCACAGCTATAATTGTAACTTTTCAAAAACGATATGGTTTAAACTGAAATACCAGCTTCATGCACACAAAATATCTTAAAAATATTGTCATTTTATGGAAGGCTCATTCCATAAAATTGTGAACAACTTTCTTCATCAACCATCACCCAGCATACCGTGTTTTCCAGAAAATAAAACAGGGTCTTATCTTAATTTTTGCTCCAAGAAATGCAGTATTTTCAGGGGATTTTTTTTTCATGTACAACAATCTACATTTATTCAAATACCGTCATGTCTTCTTCTGGTTGCTGCACAATGGTGGAGGGTGCGGTTTCACTTATCTAGGTCTTATTTTTGGGGTAGGGCTTACATTACGAGCATCCTGAAAAATCAGGATGGGCCTATTTTCTTATTTTTGGGGAAACGGGGTAGCAGTTTTATACATTATGACTTTAACTGGAATATGAGACTAGCAAGTAAAAATGCTAAAATCTCAGATGTCAATATATTTGCATTTCACAAGAATCATCAGCTGACTCCAAATAAATGACCCTACATTTTATATTAATATTTTATGCACAAGTATAAGAGGTACCATATTTTCAGCTCTAGGTTATTATGTGTGACTCTATAAAGCAAACTTAATCTGCATTTCACCAGAATCATCAGATGACTCCAAATAAATGACCCTACATTTTGTATTAATATTTTATGCACAAGTATAAGAGGTACCATATTTTCAGCTCTAAGTTATTATGTGTGACTCTATAAACCGAAGTTAATGTCTGTAAAGGTAAAGGTTCCCCTTGACAATTTTTGTCCAGTCGTGTTCGACTCTAAGGGCGGTGCTCATCCCCGTTTCCAAGCCATAGAGCCAGCGTTTTGTACGAAGACAATCTTTCCGTGGTCACATGGCCAGTGCGACTTAGACACGGAACGCTGTTACCTTCCCACCGAGGTGGTCCCTATTTATCTACTTGCATTTGCATGCTTTCGAACCGCTAGGTTGGCGGGAGCTGGGACAAGCGACGGGCACTCACTCCGTCGCGTGGATTCGATCTTACGACTGCTTGGTCTTCTGACCCTGCAGCACAGGCTTCTGCGGTTTAGCCCACAGCGTCACCACGTCCCCCAATGTACAACAATCTACAACAATGTAGATTGTTGTACATGAGCACAAATATTTACTTCATATCTTGGAGAAACACTATTTTGCTTGCTATTTTGTCCCATTTCTAGAAATGTTGGGATCTTTTTTAGAGATCAAACTTATATATACTTAACTAAGAAACAGAATTGATTCTGTGCAAATGCTTTCCAAATGAGAAAAAACTGGATGCACGTTATTTTTAAGTTATTTTTCTTAGCATCCCGTCCATGTGGATACTTTGTCTCTAAACAGACAAGTGTGAAATGCAAGAAGTTTTATGAGGTCCACAACTTAAAGGTTTTGCCTTCTGCCTTTGAGTTCCTACAAACTGATATGTTGTAACTGTTGGATCAATTAGTTGAAATGCCTAATTGATCAAGGAACAGGCAACATTTTGAAAACAGAATAAAGATTTAAAAAATTTCCTCTATGGCAACTTCAATCTATCCACACTGCAAAAAGGTTAAGTGAAATTAAGTTTTTGTCAAGCTACAAGGGCTTTTCCTTGATCCAACTTATGGCCAACCGTTTCCAGAACGCACCACTTTCCCCACCAAGCTGTTTTGTGGAGTTGTGGTTTCTTTTTGTTTCTTTTTAAAAAAACTTTTCATGATTCTGTTTTCCCAGAGAGAAGGAACACGTTCAAGGTTATCTATCACTGTCAACCACGCAAGCTGCAAGGAGGAGCTCGAGTCACACCACGGCCTCTCCTCTGCATTGCTATTCGCACAGAAAGATAATCAACTGAGAGATGGGAGGTCCCAACACAGTCTTTCAGATTATTTGCACAAGGCTCCACTTAGCAAATGGAAACCACTATCAGGCGATTTAACCATGGCAATATGATTCATCCTAGAAGGACAAATAAGGATATCCTCTCCATGAGTAGCACATACTATAATACAGCAACACCCTGTTCCTTATCCCGCCTCTCCCCTTTTATACCGTAACAGAAGCATCAGTGGTATGAAATTCAAGAACCCATGATATCACATGAATTTTGCCTTAGACATACAGACAGACAGACACACACACACACACACAGAGGTTTGTGCTACTTTGGGTTGCCTGTATCAGCATGCACTCAATTCTTTTTCTGCTCTTATTTATCTCTGAAGGTCAAATGCAGCCTAATTCCAAAAATACTTTCAAGTTTATGTATTCCATAAAGATGCCTATATATTTACTGACATTATTGCAAATAGGCATTATTTATAATTGTCTGCAAGCATTGAAATGTTTCAGAAGTGTAGCTTAGCTGGCAGTCTTCTTAGCTTAATCATTGGTGATATCTTTAGGAACTTGTATAAAATGTTACTTATTAACTATGTAAATATAATAATTTCAGTACAACCGTGATTAACAATTTTTATAAAAGGAAAAGAGAGCTAGCCATTAGAAGCAAGTCTAGCACTGTGTGCTAGAAAGCTCACTGATACAACAGAGCACTGTCTGAAAGTAAACTTAACTAAAATCAGCATTATATTGCCAAAATGACAAGTAACTACAGGTTCTGAAACTCTCACTATGCTAAAATAAGTGGAAGTGTGCCTTTTACTCTCCAGATAAGAACAGGTTTAGATTACACAGAAGCCAAATTGCAGCCCAAAATAAATCCCCCCCAGGTCACAACAGTTGCATAGCTGAAACAATTTTTCACAAAATGCAAATTGGACACCATTCTGGTTACAGCAGAGAAACAGGACTGGAAGCCATAGAATTATGGTGCTGGAAGGGGCATGTAAGGCCATTAAGCTCAAATCCCTGCTCCGTGTAGGAATCCAAATCAAAGCAGATCTGAGAGACAGTTGCCTAACTTTCTTTTCTACGCCTCCAGTGCTCACCACTTCCCAAAGTAATGCTCCAACAAGTGAGAGGTTTTTCCTGTTATTCAGCTGAAATCTGATTTCCTATAGCTTGAGCCCAATATTATGTGCCCTGCACTCTGGGATGCTTGAGAACAAATCCTGCCCCTCCTCTGTATGACTTACCTTTTAAGTACAGTGGTGCCTCGCTTAACGGGCACTCCGCTTAGCGACGAAATCGCGTAGCGATGACTTTTTTGTAGCGTTTTTGCACTTTGTTTAGTGATGGTCCCTATGGGCAATTTTTGCTTAGCAATGGTTGGGACCATGCTTCGCATAGCGATTAAATTTTTTGTTTCATTTAACGATGGTTTAAACAGCCTCATGTTTGCTGTTTTTTAAATGATTTTCTGTTATTTATAAAGTTTACTGTTTAAAATGTTTGAAACCATAAAGTGCACTTAATAAACCCTTTGTTAACCAAATTTGATGACTTTGTTCTGACTTTTTAAATTTGTTGTTGTATTTTGCCCCATTGAGTTGCATTGAATAGATTTCAATGCATTTCAATGGGAAACCGCGTTTCGCTTAGCGATGAAATCGCTTAGCAGAGATTTTCTTGGAACTAATTAACATCGCTAAGCGAGGCACCACTGTATTTGAAAAGTGCTACCATATCTTTTCCATCTTGTTTTTTCAAGTCTG